TAACCTAGATAGTGGAAAATATCAACACATTCAAGGAAGAAATCATTGGCTAAATTCCTTACTCCCAATATCCTCCGTAGCGCTACACTATCCTCGCTATCATGCATAACATCACGATTATCTAGCTATTCAAATCACATTGAATAGGAAGAATGCGAAAGGGGCCCACTTGGAGCCCTCAAATTTGAAAAAAATTGGCATACATACAAGGCTCCAAGTGGTTTTTTTTGTCATATCCAAGTGTTAAGGAACACATTGTCCTCAATGTGAGAAACGTAAAAGGATAGGAGAACGAAGTTACCAAAATGCTTAGTCGATGTGATTCTGGGATTGAAGGGTAGGGTGGGTGTAATGACCTCGAGGTGAAACTTCAGTTGTGGTTGGTGTTATTGCTTATGGTGTAGTGCAGAGTTTTGAGTGGTCCAGTTTCTCCATTGATTGGAAGTTTGAAGTTTGTCGCACTTCTGACGTAGGAGCATTGGAACTCTCTCCTCTTCAAAGGATTAACCCTCATAAAGGTTCCTACACACACAAGAACAATTCGTACCCATCCAAGCCAAACACATGTCATCAATAATCAAAGAATGCATTGAACACTTCTCATCATCCCTATGATCCAATCTTATACACCCCCACACTTGATGGTTACTAAGTAAAATAAGGGTGCAAAGTGGAAGACAATGTCGAAATAGGTAGTTAACAATCTTGTTTGATTGGTTCTATTGACAACATGTCAATCTAGGGGGTTTAATGTCGTGGACAAGGGAAATAAACAACCTAAACGATCAAAGCAGGGGTATGGATCGATTGCTCAAAAATCATATCAAAGTGGATAGCTTTGTTGAGCAAAGGGGCCATACAACTTATACCGATCGATCAAAATTCGAAACTAGCCCTCAAACATACTTCTAGCCTCAAGGGGCTTAACATAAGCATTAAAGTTCATTTGGCATGCATCAAATCATTAAAGCACAAATCATGTGGTTTGGGTATTTCATCGAGCACTTGGTGGGCGACAAATAAAACAATTAGAACTATGCAATTCATACCCACCAACGCCTCCAAACCACATACATTCATTCATAAGCATGCAACACGCAACAACATATCATCATTTCATCGTCTGCCCTCCACCTTAGTCCATTAGAACTCATTCTTAACTAAGGTATGGTCATTCACCACTACTTAAACTACAAACTAACCTAAAATAACATTCAAAAATTCAAGTTCTTTATTGAAAGGTAAAGTAAAAGAAAATTCAAACCGATGTTGGGTTGCCTCCCAACTAGCGTGTCTTTTAGGTCATTTCACCGGACTGTTGTCTTCAAGTACTCAGTCCAGCTCAAGACCTCCTTGAAGTTGAGGTTCTCGTCGGCGAGGTGGTGTCTCAAGTCCCAAGCTTTCGATGCTTCAAATGGTGTGAATGACCCATGGACTTGGTAAGAATTGTGTCTCCACCCACGAGACCTCTTCTTCTTTCTTCTCTTTGCCCCATACCATGTAATGCAATCTTGATTTACCATCCTTGAATCCACCAAGAGGGATTGTTGATGGTGTAGCCTTGGCTTGGCAAAGAGAATCCGCAAATGGGTCATTCTCTAAAAGTGTATCAAGGTCGAGTGGAAAGCTTGAGAAGCACGTGTAACTTATGGAGGCTTCATCCACGTCGACCTGGTCCATTGTCCGGACTCTAATTGCGTCTTCAACCTCCTCTCTCTCTCTCTCTCTTGTGAAGAATCTCCTCCGTGTCGACTGCCTAGCTTCTCCTCTTCTTTGCATTCTTTTTCCTCCACATCGAAACTCACTTCGATGCTAACTCCTCGTTGTTGATCATGTGTAATGTTGTTTCCCCAAGCAAGTTCTTAATTAAGTTGATCTCTGTGTATGCTTGCTCGACCACCGTGGAGAATTCTTCTTCTTCTTCCACCTCCTTTTTGTTCTTAGCACTTGCATCCAAGAGGTGATATTTATCGGATCTCAAACCAAGTTGCTTGAGATCCCTCCTATTTTCTTTCAACCTCTTAAATAACTCTTCTTGTTCAATGAAGAAGGGTTGAAGAGAAAACTTAGGATCCTCTCGTATTGAAGTTTACCCTTCATTCTCCGCCTCTTTGGGTGTAGGTGGCGATGAAGGATGAAGTGCATCTTCATCCTTGGAGGTTATGTCTTCTCCATCCTTGTTGGCCTCACCCTTTTTCTGATTTTTCCGAGTATTCTCAGACAAGGGATTTGACTCTAGCAAGACCCTCGAAGTATTTCGCAAGTCGGGATTCTTGCTCCTCTATCATCTTGTTTATGTCTTATTTATTTGAGTATTTCACCTTAGATGATAGACTGGGATGAAGCATCTCTTCTTTGTTGGAGTGCGAACTTCCTTCCTTTTCCCTTTGGAAAGGTTCAGGTGTAGGAGTTGAATTGATGAACGACTCCACGACAGGTGAAAACCTCTCACACTTCATCGGGAATTTTTCAATTTCGAGCTCCAAGAGGCTCTTTGACTCCGGGATTGGAGTTGAGTGAGTTGTCTCAAGGTCATCTAGATATGGCGTACTCGCGTTAAGTAGCTCAATATAATGGCCATCTCCAACTCGGTCTTCACCATAGATTTTGGAGGTGGTTCTTAGTATGATGGTGGAGATGCTTGATAATCATGGAGGTAAGGTTGATAGGCATTGAGAGGTGATTGTTCTTTGTACCTGGATCCTTGGCTAGCACCATTACTAGAAGTTTCAAGATAACACCAATTCGTCCTTTGGTGATCTACCCACTTCTTCTACCAACCATATGGATCCATAGCTACACCTAAACACTATCTATATTCACAAAAAGAAAAAGAAAAACAACCTATGAAAGCACAAGTGTAAAAAGAAAAGAAAACAAAAAGTGAACTAACATGTAACACAAGATAACTAATGGAAACATAATAAAAGAAAGAAAATACGATACACAAACACAAAACACAAGAAAACGGCACCAAAAGGTTGATGCTACACAAACACAACACACAAAACACGACGAAAAAACGCCAAACTTGGCACACAACAAATAATTAAGCTAGTGGTTCTCGTCTTTTCCTAATAACCTAAGACTCCCCGACAACGACACCATAAACTTGATAATGTTTATGCGCGATTGACCTTTAAATTTATAAGCCGATGCTCATTCAGGTCGTTGAGCTCTTTAATGAGCTACTATTGAGTCCAGCTCGGGCTAATGAGCATTAATTAATATATAAATAGCGCCTGTTTTGCATTAGGGGTTTAGTTAGATACAGGCTGGTATACGATAGGATTCTGTGCGCTCAATTTTAATTACTTGCCCTTCGCCCCTGCCTATTTCTTTTTCTCCCGAAAGTTTCTCATCCACAACCTTCCCAAGTGCTCTCTCTAGCTTTTGTCACTAACTTATTAGGTGTTGTCTTTTTCACAAGTCATCTAATTATCATTTCGACTTTGTTACTCTATTAAATCTTTCGTTTTGTTTTTTTAGTTTTCAACTATCCTCTTTTAGTTTGGTCTGCTTCAAAAGAAGATTTGTCGTTTAGGAATGGCAAGTTTGTTCATACCCGTTGGTATTTTATTATCAAATCCAATTAGGTTGGTTATGAAATCCAAACAGATGGTATATGTGTAGAGTTTGATAGGTTTGTATCCATATCTATTTGCAAATTACTGTTGGGTACATTAACTTAATAGATCTTTAAAATATTTGATGGAAAATTACATTTTAGTACCTAAATTGTGTTACATTCTGATCCCTAAAGTTTTAAAGTTTTAAAGTTTTACAAATATGTCCAATTTTTGTATGTGTAGTTAAAACACCCTCATATAAATGAGTATCCATACTCAACCCATGCCCGTTTAGATTATGGTGGAAATATCCATACCTTACCCAAACCCACATACAAACCTTCAAACTCATATATATTCCACCCATACCCTACCTTTACTCAATGGGTCTACTTGAATTTGAATAAAATTGCCCATGGGTGGGTAATTGCCATCCTTAATTAAGTGTTTGGATTTTTGGCGAGTTAAATCATTTTATGCGGTTTACTGTAACTCATAAGAAACTCCATGTGAACAAGTTTCTCTATATGAATATAGCACTATTTCAAAATACTATCTTTCAAACCTCAAAGATTGACCCAATATTAGGATTTATAATAGTATTTATTGTGCAAGATAACAATATTCATTGAATTTTATTTTATTCTTCAAAAAAAAAATTCCTAGCCTATCCACAAAACTAGGTAATACCACCCTATTATGATCACACATTCAACTATCCCGTCTAAACTCATGTTGTATAATTGTAAATTCGACTATTTCCTCTAAAATCATTTCCAATCCGAAATAAATAAGTTGTTAGTTAATACATGATTGCTCTCATACCACTAAAGACATTCACCTCGATTTGAGACAATATAACTTTTTTGCCCACGAATTGGTTGATTCATTTTTTAGGATCCGCCACAAAGTGCGGGCCAATTTTCTAGTAAGTTTTATAGTTGGTATCGAGATTGAGCCAAATATGAAATAAGGTATTTTCTACCAAGCTAAAACCATGTAAAAACTCCATTCAGTTAGCCGATTTGCAGTCCTACGCACGAAACAGTCTTTGCAGAATCAAATATGAGACAAGTCTTTGGGCCAGAAAAAAAAAGGCAAAATACACTTGTATAGCCATAACTTTCACATTTTTGACAAATATAGCCATATCTATTCGAAAACACGATATAGCCCAAAAAACAGAGGGTAGTGTGACAAATCTAGCCAAATCCGTTATAAACTTTAACACCGTCTGTGACTCCGTTAAATCGTTTAACGGAACGCTGACGAGGACGAAATTCGACCTCCACATCAGCGACACATCAACAAACAAAATGTATACGTGGAATGCCACGTCAATTTGAGTTATAAAATAATTATTTTTAAAATTAAAAAACAATTTTTTTTCTAACTTTTCCCCTTCCCCGATTAAGCAACACTCGGAGACCCATCTCGTCGGAGTCATCGAACGGAATTTTCATCATCTTCCTTCCCGTTTGGTAGCAATCTGGGTGGGAGAGGGCCGAGATCCATCGTTCTCACCAGGAACCCATTCCCAACCGGCGACCATCGCTCCCAACCCTCTCCATCTTCGAACAAATCCCCTTCCCTGCAACAAAAATCCCAAACCTAGAAACACCCAAAATCTCCAGAAATACCCAAAATCCTCAACCCCATACGCTTTTACAAAGCCACCACCATCGACTCAATCCCTAGAATCAAAATGTTTCCCAATCCAAATGAGAAGACTACTGATGTGAGAAAACAAAGAAAAAGATTGATTCCAAATTCGTTGTCCTTGCCCCCAACTGCCCGTTGCCGATAGAGTACCACCAGCAAAGGGAGTGGGTTTTGACGGTCGATTCGGATCTGCCTCACTGTCGCTGTTGTTGCAACATCGACGCCTTCAAATCTCTATTCACGGCGATTGTTCTATGAGATCCAGCTTCTCAATCTCCGCATCCAGAACTTGTACCCTTTCCCTTAATTTCCCAACTCGCACAGCCAGACTCTGCAGCTCCTCCTTCGCCGCAACCCTCTCCCCCTTCAGCTCCTCGTACCGGCTCGCCTTCACCATTTCCCCTAATCAAACGAGCATGAAGTCTACGTTCATCCCGACCTGGAGGCAATCGAAGCGGACCCGAAAGTCCGACGGAGATGAGAAGAAGGGATTGGAAGCATTGGGTTGTCGAACCGCCATTGGCGGTGGCAAAGCAAGGACTACATCCCTTGCCTTCTTCCCAGATCTACTCGATTTCAAGTCGAAGTCGGTGATGGTTCACATTCCAGAAGTCACCGACAAAGGTGATGGAGTTTTGATTACTGAAGGCGCCGATGAAGGTGACGATGGTGATGCGGTTTTCCTAGGATTCATCCCAGACCCACCCGATTTTTGTCTTCATTTCTAGAAGGTGATGGTTCTAGAACAGCCGGAGCAGACAGGTTGTTGAACCGTACCGCCGCCGTGATGATGATTCTCCTCCTCCACTTTCTATTGCTCTTGCTCCTGATCTTGCTATCTCTTTTCTATATTTAAATGCTTATTGTTTAGAAAGTGCAGGCCTGAGCAAGAGGAGGAAGAAGAAGAGGAGGAAAGAGAGGAGGAAGGGAAAATGGATACATACGCCGTTGATGGGAAGCTTCGGAGAACAACAATGGAGGAAATAGATTTTAGGGATTTATTTGGTTGTATTGGCCTATTGGGGATTTCGTGTTAATTTGTTCCTTTTTGTTTAGATTTTTGTTTTTCGAGTTCACAAAATTAACGACGGTGAGGAATGAGTTTTTATTTTTATTTTTATTTCTGTTAATCCACGTGGATCGGTGGGGACGAAATTTTGCCAACTCAGCATTTTCGTTAGTCTATTCATACTGTTAAGTAACACCGTTAAAATGTTGGACGGAATTGGTTATTTTGTGTTTTCGGATAATTATGGCTATATTTGTCACAAACGTGAAAGTTATGGCTATACAAGTGTATTTTGCAAAAAAAAATAACAAATACTTGGCACGATTAACCGCCAAATTACGCCTACGTCACACAACCCTCATCTGCTGGTGCTTGCTTCATCGCCGTCCTTATCTAAAGACCCACGTCACTACCACCGTGCTACGTGTCAAGCTACTCCTCTGACACCTCCACCCTACGATGGACACGTTTTCCGCTCCCCATTAATCATCATCCGCCCACATTATATATCGGTGTCCCTCCTCGAAGCACAAACCCCAAACCACAATCGATAATAGTATGACAGCGAGCGAAGAACCAATTCTATCCCGCTTGGACCGCCTCGACAACATGGTAACTAACTTCTTTTCCATCTTTAACATTCGCGCCTGTCGTTTCGTCTCTGTTGAATTCATGATACATGGATGTTCTATTTATTACTGCAGTTGAGGCAGCTGGAGGAGATTAAAGCAGCTGGGAGCGGCCGGTCGTCTCCCCCCACGACGACGACGACGTCGTCCCCGTCCACCCCGTCCAGCTGGACGGCGGCGGCGAGCAGCCAGGTGTCGTTCGCGGATTCGTCGCCCAGGAGTCGGTGCCGTCCGTTGGAGAGCGTGATGGTGGAGGTTGGGATGAAGGGCAGCCTCATGGACCGCATCCACTTCGTCGAGGATCGCATGCTCAAGGTTTGCCCTTGCATACGTATATCTTATGTTTAGGGTTCAGGGTTTAGGGTTTTGATTCTGTTGTCTGACGATGATATGGGTTGGTGTAGTTGTGTACACAGGTGGAGGAAGAGTTGACGGGAGAGGAGAGGAGGATGAGTGCGGCGGCGGAGGAGGAAGAGGAGGTGACGAGCCCAGGGGGTAGCCGGAAGAAGAAAGGGTTGAAGGGGCTGGTGCGGAAGATAATCAAAGGGAATCATCACCATCATCATAATCATAATCATCTTCCCATGGATCATGCTACTCACTCTAAGCTCGGGGCAACACCTAGCTAATTAACTTATAAGCTTCTCGTCTCATGTTTATACATGGTTTTGAATTTTCGAGTGTTTCGTTGTTTTCACCTTTGTCTCGTTTTATCCTTTGTACGAGTACGGGGTTCCATACACGTACGGGTATTGTTGAGAGGGCGGTGCAAGTGTGGTGGTATTTTTTCTGCAAATGTAGTACTGTCTGATGTTCAAAATTCATGATTTAAGGGTACCTACCGGTAACTAAAACTCAATGATGACGGGTGGTTTAGTACAAGAGTTTAAATTTGATGAAAAAGGGTTGTGGGTAGGGCTGTCCATTTGGTTTTGGTTTTTTGGTTTTAACCGAAACCAAACCAATTGAAAAGCTAATGGTTTCAGTTTTTTGGTTTTAAACCAATAAGCAACTTAATGGTTTTGGTTTTGTTAAAACTGAAAAATCAATAGAAACCATTAAGAAACCAATAAGAATAACATTATTTATCAACAAATATTTTTTTTTTGTTTCTTTTGACACGCATGCCAACCAATAATTTGTTATGGCCATTTACCATTATTATGACGTGTATTCAATAAAAAGGATGGAAATAGGAATAAATATGAGTGTATGAGTACATGTTGGTTTTTTGGTTATCCAAACCAAAACCATTAAGGCCCTTATTGGTTTTTGGTTGTCAAAAACCAATAAGGACCTTAATGGTTTTGGTTTTTCAAAAACCAATAAGGACCTTAATGGTTTTGGTTTTGGTTTTGGTTTTTCATACTTAATGGTTTGGTTAACCAAACCAAACCAAATTGACAGCCCTAGTTGTGGGGTTGGGCGAAAAGCTCCAAGGGGATGGAGTTGAAAAGAGTCGATCTTGAATATCGAAGTATTGATACGGGGTTTAAATTCCTGTCCATTCATGAAGTTATAAGTTATCTTTGGTCAATCTGTGTATCTTCTGTGGTTGAGCATGTTCTTACTAGTCGATGTTTCGTTAGGGGAGAGAGAGACTAATAGTTTGTAACCAACACACTTTAGGTCAACTCTTCTATTTTCTTACATAGAGGTGAAGGGATGGTTTTTTTACATAGAGGTGAAGGGATGGTTAGGATTGAACAAACATTTTGTCAGGTTATAAAAATAAATGAATTTCTCTTTAAAATATTCTTTAGCGAAATGCGGCAAAAGGAAGGATAATTTATGGAATTAGGGGTGGGCATCCGGTTCGGGTTTTTGACTCTTCGAACCGAATTGAACCAAATCAAAATCGACCGAAATCAAAATTTATGTTATCAGGTACGGAATTTAGAAGGAGAAAAACCATGTTTCAGAAACTAGGGTCACAGAAACGAACCTAATTTTCGAACATTCGAAGCGCGAAGGGGATGGATGTCTGAGCGGTTGAAAGAGTCGGTCTTGAAAACCGAAGTATTTGATTGGAATATCGGGCTTCGGATCCCTTTCCATCTATATGAGGTCATCAGCTAATCTTTGATCAATGTGTGTCTTCTGGGCCTGAGCATGTTTTTCATAGTTGATGCTCCGCTAGGGGAGAAAGAAACTAATAGTTTCTAACTAACAACCTTTAGGTCAACTCTTCTATTCCTTACAGAGAGTGAAGGGACAGTTAGAGGATTGAATAAACATTTCGTCAGGCTATAAAAATAAATGAATTTCTCTTTAAAATACCCTTTAGCGAAATGCGGCAAAAGGAAGGATAATCCATGGATCTAGGGGTGGACATTCGGTTTGGGTTTGACTCTCCGAACCGAAGTGAAATCGATCGAAATTTATGTTATTAGGTTTGAAATTTGGAAGGAGAAAAACCATATTGGAGAAACGAGATGCATTTTTGCCATAAAAATTCCTCTACTCGTTACAAACTATTAAATCAAAGCAATACTATTTACCATTTGGATATGCATATGAGTAAGCACGTGCAATCGTGATATTATATTATAATTAAAACAGGGCCGGATTAGAATAACATCAAACTCGGCGGAAAGGCTATCCTATCCTAATTATCAATCAATGTTCAATCACGCCAACCCAAATCAGATTGCGATGACGAGGATTAAAATCTAAGTAGAATCTCTAAAGACGGTGTGACGACTAACGAAGCCGAAGTCGGCGTGTGCCTTTTGGGTGGATCAATTGGTATTTGGTAATCATTACCAGTCCAATAATATGATTGACAAAGTGAAGCTTTTGATTACTTTCAGGGCGTGTATAATTGAGTTTAAAGACTACTCTCGCGCACCAATTCACGTACGGAATTTTTCGAATTTAAAGATAGATAAAGTACGTCAAATTAAGAAAATGCGATAAATTTACAACTAAGGGATCGTTTGCTTCAAGGATTTGGTACATGGATTTGGTACAAAAAAACCAATTATCAAAGATTTAGGTACAATCCGTTGTTTGCTTGCCCCTTTTTTGGAGACCAAATCCGTGGGGCCACGGATTTTAAGGGTCCAAATTCGTGGACCCCACGGACTTATAAATCTCACATGTTGATGTGGGATTTGGAATATGGCATAAATCCTTGATGAGATTTTACCCATATACCCTCATGCACTTTTAATATTCCAAGGTTGCCCTCAAATTTAACTATTATACATTATAATTAACAATAAATGAATAATATAAACGTTCAATTAATGTGCAAACATGAGTTAGATTTTTTATATCATTTCTTGTGTTCTAGTTTTCTTTGACCTTTTCATGGAACGTGTAATTCTTTGTTCTCCCGATTCTAATATATGTTGTTATATGTCACTTTAAAAGTTAGAACGAAATTTTCTCGTTTATTATTATTGTCCATGTGGCAACATTATGCTTATTAGTATGTATTGTCCTTGTTTTGTGTACATATTATAAACATGTCAAACATATAGAAAATGATAGTAAGGTAATTTTGAAGTTTTGTCCTTGTTTTGTGTACATATCATAAACATGTCAAACATATAGAAAAGGGCAGTAATGTAATTTTTGACTTTAAGTAGTAAAGCTCACACCTTTAAATCCATGATAAAAACCTCCCAACAAACAAATGATTGTTACAAATCCATGATGCCTCAAATCCTTGATAAATCCTTGGGTTTTTAAACTACAAAACCCTCATTTTTAAATCCATGAAGCAAACGACCCCTAAATTACTACTAATACTTTACTTTTCATTAGTAATAAGAAAAAACGTAGAGCAAATGTACATATTTATAGGACTGATCCTACAAACTCTTTCCTCCTCAAACAAGATATACCAATTCCAAAATAATAAGGTAAAGACTAATTTCCTAGCATGAATAACCCAAAGACTTTCATCAAGAAAATGGAAAGAATTCAACGAAATTTTAATCTGGTCTAGAGTCCAAACTAGTACCAATAGGGTAGCTCATTTGGTGGCTCGCAAGGCTTTTTTTTTTGTACCCGACTACGAGTCGTTTATTTGATTTCCAGACCTGGCTGAATTCCAAAATGTAACTATCTATTTGTTCAATCAATATACGATTATCTTTTGTTAAAAAAAACTAATACCAGTGCCCCAAACCATTACCACTACGAAGAACGACCCATTACCAATAACTTATTAGGATAGGTTTATCATGGCTAGTTATGGAAATCTGGAAGTGGCCCCTATTACTCATTATGATCGTGTCGGGCGAGCAATACCCAACCCGTAGTAGAGTGGGGCAGGGCATGAGTATTACTTTTACCCTACCTCGCTCGTCGCGTTCCATTCTGGACCATCCTGCTATGATTTGTCTCAATATTTTTTTAAAATTTTCTATTTATATTTATCTTAAATTATATTTTCACCTAATGATAATTAAAATAAATATGAGTAAAATTTTATCTTTAAACTAGTTT